TATAAATAATCTCTTATAATTTTGTGTGTGTGTATTTTAGGGAAGGATCTACAGGGTGTTCAAGGTCTCACTACTAGTTCAGACTCTAGTGATCTGCCTGTTTACAGCCTTCCAAAAGCTGGGATTACAGGCGCACACCACCATGCCCAATCTTAATTGGTGTCTCGGCATGTTCCTCTTGCAGGTGCTTTAATCCACTGAGCTATTTATCCAGCCCTTGTTTTGTTTTTTGAAACAGGGTCTTGCTATGTAACCCAGAATGGCCTTAAACTCACAGCAATTCTCCTGCCTCAGCCTCCTGAGTGCTGGGATTGTAGACATGCATCACCACACCTGGCTATTCTATTCTGGTTTCTTTAATTTCCTACAAGTTTAGAACACTGGTATTAACTTCAAATGCAATCACAGACTAAGAATTATATTAAATTCAGATGAAAAGGAACACAGTCACTGTTCACCAGTAACAAACACCCTAAACACCAAGACACAACTATTCATCCAAATATAAACTGAAAGTTAGATATGAAAACCTATCTCTTATTTTTATTATTAATATTAGTAGTATTTCAAATGATGTAGTGAATTATTATTTATTACCAATACACTGATGCAAAAAGCAATCTTAACTGGAGTATATTATATTCCAAAAGTACTGTGTCAATCCTCTAATGTTATTAAAGTGATCCTAAAATATTAGCAGTATATCATCATCTAGAATATTAACCACGGTAATTAATTGAAAACCTTCACATCACTAAATAATACTCACTCTGAGCGGAGCCGGGCTTCCATACCATCTGGTAGAAAAAGTTTTATTGTGGAAACAATACACCCATGGGTAACTGGTTAAAACAAACAACATAAAATAATTGTTTAAAAATATAACTTTGTACCTCTCATAGGTAAATGTATATTTTATTCTTAAAAGTAACTACTTGTAGGAAAGAAAATAAATGTACTAATTTAATGACAATATTCATCGCCCTGAGAAACTCATCTCTGTCCATAATAAATCCCAAATGCAAAGTAGTTTATAGATAGAACTGTTCTATAACAACACTGAATAAAGGCCCACTGGATATGCAGAAATACAATCAAGGAAGGGAAATGCACTTTTACCTCCAACTTATTCTACTCTCCTTTAAAATAGAGCGTCTTTATTCCTAGTTCTTTGGTCCCCATACTATCTCCAATCATGCCTCAAAAATGCTGGGTAATACAGGTTAGAAGACAGCTTTTCTATCTCCCCTCTTATGAGCAAGAAAATCGAGACTTCAGACAAGTGAAAATGCCTCTACAATGCTCTGCTAGTAAGCATTAGAGTTTCTTGTTGCAACTTATATGGGAGTTTCAATTCAGTTTAATTTTTTCTTTTTGATAGTTTTCTTCCCCCATTTGCAACATATTGTTATAATGCCACAGTTGTCTCTATGTAAGTAACAACTTCTCTTATTGTTCACACTTCCTCCTTTTTCTACTAATGACTTTAAGAGACAAAACTCACCAAATGTGGTGCTTGTACAGAGCTGCTCTGAGCTTTAATTTTTTTTTTTTTCCAGGCTTATAGATTGATGGTTTTACTTTTCCATTCTTCAAAGACTGCATCTTCTAAGGAAGGTCTAACGAATATATTTATTTAGTTCACTGAATTCTAACTAAAAGGTAATGCCAATTAATTAGAATATACTACATACAGGGGCCTGAGTTCAATCCCTGGTTCCGTAAAAACAAAAACAAACAAACAAAAAGAATATACTACATAATGATTAGGGGAGTGGTGTTTGTTGATATATGCATTTGTTAAAACTTATATTTTTAATGCAACTGAGTTGTAAGAATGTCATTTGGGGACAACATTGAGTATTCAGGCCATAATATCAAGATGATATTAAAAATATATAGTAATATGATTGCCACCCAGAACTATACATTAAATTCAAGGAACTGGCAGTTCATTCAATATAAATTTTCATTAAATAACTGATTATATGAACAACAACACAGATCAAGAACTATCTACTGGATGGTTCTTCTAAACTGTCTACCACAGCAGTCACTGTCATGAACCATTTGGCTCCCTCCTTTCCTCTGGCCTCATTCTCTATCCTGCTATCAAATAGGTCTAAGCCAAGATACCTATACCACCTTACCTTTTACAACTCCAAGCCTTTTACACCAATAGTCCCTCAATCAATGATGTCTTTTACACCCCTGCCTGCACAACCGAATGATACTTATCCTCCAGGCTCATACTTTCTTATTCCTTCACCCATTCACAGTACCTGAGTTAGATGTCCCCAGAGCCACTTTTATAAACAGTGTGCACTGTGGATATCTAACCTCTGTAGAACTGCGATCTCACTAATCAGACTCAACTCTTTGAAGTAGAAAGGACTCAGTAGTTTCTTATGTTTCATAACTGTGTCCTTAGCATTTGGTAGAAAGCTTACAATGTTGAAGACCATTATCTACTCAATATTTTACAACTCCCATTACTAAGGGGTAAGAGAATTCTTACTTTAAGGAATAGCAGACAGAGTTCTTTACTATTTACAAGAAAACCCTCACCCCTTCTCTGGCAGAAACAGGGAAGGTATAAACTTAACTCTATGGCTCTATCAGAGAATTACTATAAAACAGACTACAGTAAATATAGCACTAAAGAAAAGATGAAGATCCAATAACTACTGTATTTTACCAACATGTTTAAACTTATTAAAAGTTGTTTTTTCAAAACAATGTTATAGAATTACAACTGCAGTACCAAAGGTGACAACCTATATAACACAATACACATCAGGAATTCTATTGGTGAGTTATAGCACCCTGAAATTCAGAAGTAGACTGGTGTCTAAGACTTATGTGAACCAAAGGCTGATGCAGACTGGGCAGAAGGGAGATGCTAAAGGTGTTTTTCATGTCTGACTAAGCCAACAACCATATCCAGATAACCCTGCCCTTGAAAAGATTTTATGTCAATGAGATACACAGACAGAAATGTTAGTTAATTTTTGAACTTGTAATAGACAACTATGTATTTAAAACAAACCAAGAAAATGATTTAATATTTATATTCATAAACTATATAATAGCATTTCCAAAAATGGAATTCCAGTAAGTATTAACAACAACAAAAATATCTGAAGGTCAGACAAGTTTGGCAAATGCTTGGTTAAAAGAAGCTTCAAGCATTTTCATTTGTTTGTTCGTGTGTTTATAACCCTGGTCTTCTTCAGAGCCCAGAGGACTTTTGCCTATCACACTATTTTAAAAGTAAGATGCATTTTCCAACATGAGCACTGAGCCTCACCAGCCCTCTTTCAGGAACACTTACCTATGATCAGATAATATGAAGAAAACAATTCAAAAAATATTGCTCTAAGACATTCTTAAAACATTCTTTATTGGAGGGGGGAATGTGTCTTTTTGAGACAGGGTCTCATTATGTAATTCAAGTTGGTCTCAATCTCATTTTATAGACCAGGCTGGCCTCAAACTCACAGCAATCCTCCTGCCTCCGCCTCCTGAGTGTTGGGATTACAGGCATGCAAATAAAGCAGTCTTTAAATATATTTTGCTCTAAAAAATGACTCACAAATAGTATTACTGTATTTCAAGACTCACAGACTAAAGTGATTACAAAACACAATTTAAACAGGTTCTCTAGGAGAGTAAGGGAGACGCTGAGCATTGCCACATTAAATATACATTAAATGTACTATAAGTCATGTGCAATTTCAGGAAAGTTAAAAACATGAAAACTAGGTGTCTGAACTGAAGCAACAATGTACACATGAAAAAAGAATATGCAATTACTTCTGACAGTTATAGGCTATGAAGTCAGAATAACCCTATACACACTGACTCAACTCCTCTAATTTTTTTTCCTGTTTCTTACACAGATCACTTGTTTTTGAGTTAGTGTATTTCCTTTGGGGAATCCACTTACTCTTTACATAAATGCCATTTAGAGGACCCAAGTTCAAGTTGGTAAATCTTAAATCTGTTAAGAGCACATGAACTGGGAAAGACAAACTTCTGAGGTATGCTGTAGTCTGGCTCTATCTCAGATCCTATCTTGAGTAAGAAGGTCAAAATTATTCTTCACATAAAGAGTGGTTTGAAGGACCTCTTAAAATGATAGGCAACAATAGGAAGCACAATGAATGTGACCACAAAACCCCAAGAAAAAGCCAGCAATAGTGGTGCAACATTTGTAATTCTAGTACTCTGGGAAGCTGTGGCAGAAGGATCACAAGTTAAGAGCTCTGTTTGAGCAACTTAGTGAGATCTTGAAGGTGGGGGTGGGGGAGGGAGAGGAAGAGAGAGAAGAGAGAAAGGAAGGTAAGCAGGTAAGGGATGCTGATTGGTGTAAACACACTGGATTCAACTCCAAGTACATACATAAATTTAAAAAATAAAGATGTAAACCAGAGATGTTAACATGTTACTGTAATAGTTTCTAATCTTAGGGTTTTGAGTTTGGGGGGATTTTTTTGTTGTTGTTGTTTTGTTTTCATGTGAAAAATTAGAAAAGAGACAGCTTTGGTGGTGCAGGACTATAATTCCAGCACTCTGGGAAGCTAAGGCAGGTGGACTTCAAGTTCAAGACTAGCCTGAACAAGTTAGACCTTATTTCAAAAATTAAGAGCTGAGGATGTAGTTCAGTAAACAGAACACCTGCCTGGCAAGCACAAGGCCCTCGGTTCAGTCCTCAGTACAAGAGAAAAAAGGAAAGAAAAAGAAAATCAGTCAATTAAGGTCTGGGGATAGCTCAATGTGAAGGCCCTGGGTTCAGTTTCTGGACAGGCACACACACACACACACACACACACACACACACACACAGAGGCAAGGGAAAAAGCAGAGTAATATAGAACAGGCAAGCATTCTTTTTTTTTTTTTTTTTTTAATGTATATAGTACAGGGTCTATAGGATCTCACTACGGACTCGTAGCAATTCTCCTGTTTTCAGCCTTCCAAGCACTGGGATTACAGGTGTGTGCCACCATGACCAGTCTAGGCAAATATTCTTTTTTAATTTTTTGGTAGAACCAGGGATTGAACTCAGGCCCTTGCACTTGCCAGGGAAGCGCTTATTCCACTGAGCCATCTCCCCGGCCTTAGGCAAATATTCTTTTTAATCTTCTTTTTTTTGATAATGCTGGGAACTGAAGCTAGGACCTTATGCATACTAGGCAAGAACTCTACCACTGAGCTATATCCCAAGCCTGTTTCTAATTAAAAAAAAAAAAAATATATATATATATATATATATAATCATTCTGTCTTCATTTATAAGCTGCAGTTCAGCCATCAGAAAGCCATTAGAAGACTTTCTTTCTTCAATTACTTGTTTAGCTTATATACAACTACTGTTCTTTTCTTTTGAGTGCTGTCATCAAACCCTGAGTCTCATGGGTGCCAGGTAACATGTTGCCACTAAGCCACACCACAGCAACCTTATATAGGAAAGACTGGATAAAAGTTTTCTTGTTCTTACAAAGTGTTAAAACCTTTTTTCTAAAAAAAAAAAAAAAATTAAAAAAAAAAGAAGAAATAAAACCTTTTTTCTTTTTTGTATCACTGTAAGCACATTGATTCAAACATATTTGACCTACTTTATATTTTAATTCACTGATATTATTTGATGCTCAAATAATCTATCTTTGACCACTGAGAACTGACTTATGCTAATCTCTAGAAGTCCTTCTGACAGTTATACATAGGTTCACTGCTGCCTGGCATACAAAGTTTTGTAGGCTCAACTCATATACGCGGGGCTCCAGACTCAGAATCAGCTATTTCTAAGGAGTCTTATTTCTATCTAGCTGGTAGAAGT